TATATTACATAATTAACAGGAGAATAACAAAAAATGGGGGACTAAAATGAAATTTATGAAAGTTGAAAAGATTAAAATAGAATAACTCGAAAAAGTTTAGGTACACAATAAGAAAGTTAAGCATAAATGCAATAAATGTGAAATTGAAAAGGATAGTTAAGATTTGAATAAATGGAAGAAAAATAAAGAAAGAAGGAAAAGTATGGAGAAATTATTTGATGGTAGGAAGGAAACCCAAAAAATTGCACCCAATAGAGGCCCAAGTGATTGGCATGTGAATCCAATTATTGATTATTTTTTGTTGCTCCTTTTACACTCCAACTCCAACTCCAAGTAATAGTAATAGTAGTAATGTAGTCCATGGTCTCACACCCACCCCCCATGTGCCTTCACTTATTGCACCCACCTCCATTTCCATCCCTCTAACCTCATTTTCTTGCATTCACGACTCCAATTCTCAACTCGAATATAGTTGCCTCGGTTAGAATTCGATATCTCTTTTTCTTGCATTTGTTTGATTATATGTTTTATTAGTGTTTTGCTCTTGTACAATTTATATCTAAAATACATAATTAGAAGAAGATATTTCTCTGTTTGTAGATATAAATATTGTACTAAAGACTAATTTGTTTCTCTTAAATGATTTTATTTAAAAATTTGTTTATATCTTAAGCTAAGAGATAAATGATTTAGTTCGATGGGTAGTTGATGGCAAAATCCTCACTTATTTACAAATAAAGATTTAGTTACGGGAAGTACCGTGGTACAAGTAGGAAAAAGTTCACTAAAAAGTAGGGCATACAACAGCAGATCAATTCATTCAACAAGATCTATATCGGACTGAGATGAATGGACTTAAATGTGGGAATGTTATTCAAATATTCACTTCATTATTGAATTTTTTTAAACGTACTTGTAATTCTTTTTCATTCAATGAATAGCTTAGCTTTTATTATTTGGAAGGAAAAAAAAGTGGAGGTCGCCCCTTTCTTTGTTACAATGAAATTTATTTAGAAAAATGATTCATGTTCAAAGGAAGGAAAGATTGGATGTGGATGGCGCAGAAGCGTGTCCCCACTCACCGACCAACCAGATTTTGGCGTATGTGCCACGTCATCGCCGATGATCTGGATTGGATGATAGTATTCAATCATATGAGATCAGACGGCATCCCGATGAGCAGGCAGCACGTGAATTTACCTTTATGCCCATGCTGCCAGGTGTCAAYTGTCACGTGATTTCACACCGCCTTACCCCTACAAACTACAAGTTACGAGTTACAACCCTATACGGCTATGCCCACCTTTTTTTTCTTTTTTCTAAACCAACTTTTTTCTGAAAATAAAATAAAATTAAAATATATTGCATCGAAGTGCGAGAAAAAAAATGGGGTTAAATTATAAATTTTGTTCCAATTTTGATTTTTTTTTAATTTTTTATTGAGTTTAACTCAATCTTGCAATTTTTAAGATGGTATTAAAATGTATTGCTTACTCAAAACTATGTTTGAATTGATATTTTGATCATTTTTGATCTATTTTAGTCATTCAACTCCAAAAAAACACTATACATAATCTTTAGATCTTTTATATTGATATTAATAAATTTTTATCTTGAATATTATTACCTAAACATACTGGTTAAGACAATATCTACTTCTCTAAAAATTGTTGGTTTGGATCCGACACTTGAAAAAAAGTTATTACTTCATTGATGAAAGATACTAATTTGACTAATAAATAATGAATTGATCTTACATAATACATGACAATCGACCTAATATAGTTCTATTAGTCAATGCAAAAATTCAGAAAAAACTGTGGTTGAAATTTTATAAATTTAAATACTAAATTTGTGATTTATGTATTATTGAAAATGAAACAACTTGCAAGCAAATGGCAAATGTAAAGCTCCATATCAACGTCTACTTATCCATTGTTTAATATTTATTTTCGACATATTTATATTCTTGAAGAGAATAAGACCAGTTACTTATAACATAATTTATTCAAAATATATAAAGAACAATTTCTCTCTCTTTATATATATCTAAGTGGATTGGTTGACCAATCAATAGAAAAATTAGAACTAATTTCCAAGCAATGGACAGTATATAATTAATTAAAATGGGAGTTTGAGAAAAGGGAAATGGCTTTTTGGTCGACGACTTTAATTAAAAAACAAGTTGGGATTATTATATAACTTAACAAAGAATATAGTAACATGCATGGCATCCTTAATCCCCATCATTAATTTGCATAAATCTCATTGACTTTCATGCCAACATATTTTTTAATTAGTTTCTAACAAATGACGATCAAGACTTCATCTTCGTACTAACTTACTTTTTCTTTTTCTTTTAAATACAGTTCAACAACTTATAAGTGTAAAGATTCGAATAAACTACATTTCGATCCTACAGTTTAACTATGCTAAGAAAACAGGATAGTTCCGTACTTGTGTATTTCATCTAATTGAACTTTAACTTAAACAAGTGGTGAAATTAATACGTTTTCTTAGCTTGTTGAAAAAATTGTAGTGAAAATATTATGCTCCCTTTGGCCAACACAAGCTTATGAAAAGAAGGTTTGAAATGTCAAAGCAAACAAATAATAATAATAAATTTAAAAAAATAAAAAAAGAATGATTTTTCTGTATACAATAGGTTGCATTTTGACTATGCCATTTGGGAAATGGATTTGTTTATTTGATTGCTTCTAGTTCTCAAGTATGACTTTTTTTCCCTTTATAAATAAACCTCATATATGTAAGTATTTATTGAAGTTTGGGCTATACTTAATTAATTTTCCGAAATATAAGATTAGAGCACATGGATGATGATTTGGTATTTATTTATAGTATATGGTCTATTCTTAACTTTTATTCCCCTCATCCTTCAATTCTCATATCTAAACAATAAATTTTGATTACTTTAAGGTATTTCTGTTAAATTAATGCTAGTGTGACCCAACTTATAATAATTATAAAAATTATGATAATGAAAAACAAAAATGAAAGTTGTGTAGTTACACAATAACTGCTGAAAATTTCTTAATGGAACATTAATTGTACCTAATGAATTCTTATGTTTAAGATTATATAACTAATAAAATCATAAGCAATTTGACATGTTAATTATCTCACATGTGTTAATTATATTCATTTTTTCCAATATGAGAAGATTGTAGCAATAATTTTGTAGATTTCAGCCAATCCACAGAAATACTCAAATCACTGGAGAGAAAAAAAAAGGTAGAAGTATTTGTAAAATAAAATATAAATTTAAGTGAATAATTAAGAAATGGTGTATTGTTCACACAAAATACATGTGGATAAGAAAGGGTAAAATGTCCAAAAAACATGTGAGTGGGACCCTCATAAATTGGGTCAGACATCGAAATTTTCAGGATTCAGATGTTTCATTCCATGTGATCTTCAATTAATTCTCCACTATGTCCTTATCTGCAAAAACTTGAATTTGGGCCCATAATTGGCCCATTTTTATCATCACCAGTTCCCCTGCTCATACTTTCATATCTGCAGCCTGCAGGCCTATGGATTCTGTTCATATATATTATATTGTTCTTTTTTTAAAAAAATAATAGGGTACTTTGGAAATTTACTTCTGTTTTATGCTAGTTAGATGAAAGAATAGGAGAGTTTTAAAGAAAAATTACGTAAAAAAAAAAAAAAGGTCAAATTCGTCTTTTATAGACGATTCTTTGTTTTTTTTTTTGTTGTTGTATAGACTACGTTTTCAAACTATTTTATTTTTTGAATAAATTTTAGAAGTATATTTACTAAATAAAAGCAGAACTATTTTGGCTTAGTTCTCATTAAGTTAGGAAATATGTGGACTACTCTGGACGTATTTGTTATATATATATATATATTATTTTCGGCCAATAAATGTTTGTTGTTTCAAAATTTATATTTATACGCTTTTATTTGAGTTCCCAAGTCTTTTTTTATTATTATTTTGTTGTGGTCTATCACGATTAGACGTTACAATCGACTTGCTATAATGGGTGAATTGAACTATCCAAATGGTAAAAATATTTGAAATCTAACAGAAACAATTGTCGGCAAGATGTCGATTATTGGATGAAAAACATCCCAAATATAAGGAAGAAGATTGGTCTGAGTTTGGGAAGTTTATATTTATGTGGTTGGGGTTAAAGAAAAACTTATATTTGTATAATTTCTACATGATTTGTAGAAAGAAGAATTTCAGAAGCTTAAAGTTTATAGAGCACGGCATTTTGCTTATGAATTTATGATTTCAAGCTTGAAATAAATAAACTCACACACAAAACAGACTTAACATCCAAACTCTAGATACTGTCGACATGAAATTCTTGGAGTAAAGCAACTGAATAGCTGAAATCCATGAAATATCCTAATGTTTCAATACAATTTTGTTTGTGCATGTTGGTAGATGGTTGAACAAAGCAGCCAATTCTTTAACCAAAAACACTCTTCTTTCTTTTTCTTCATAATTATGTACAAATGACTTTTCTATTTGGCTTTTGAGCATGATTGAGGAAGATGACATATCTTTTTGCTAATATAATTCAAATTTAGTTATTAAAAAAAAAAAAAAAAACTCCAAACTAGTTGTACAAAACATAGACTTATGATTGCATTTTTTCCAATTTGAAAAAACATTCCAACCAAAGTGACTAAAACTTCCCGGATAACTCAAAAACTCAATGTGATTTCTACTTAAGAGATTGTAGGTTTGAATCCTAATCCAATCTTTGTGATATTGAAAGAGAATCACAAAAACTAAAGTACATTTCAACCCATTTTTTGATGAAATAAAGTCTCTAATAAGGTGGGGTGATTTGACCCGTACATGAAAATACTAAACCTATCTAGAATTTAAAACTTGAACTATGACCTTGCATGCATTTTTTTCCTTTCGAATTCAACAATATAGGAGATGAAGATTCGAACATCTGACATTTTTGCCAATGATATATATCTTTAACAAAGTGAACTATATTTAAGTCAGTGATAGAATCTAATAATTTGAAACGTCTACGAGTATATATAAAACAAATTTGACCCAAAAAGGAAGTGGATGACCCCCTCCCCTCCTAGTAAAAGGCTGATGGGATAGCCTGCAGCCTAGTGCCATTAGTGTAAATTGCAGGGACATGGCACATGGGCGATGCTTGATTCCTGATGACCCTCTGTCCTTTTTTATTTGCAGGCTCTGCTCTGATTCATGTGAAACCCTATTGAATTACTTACAGAGTTCATCTTGTAAAATGGGTCTCATGACAGTTATGGAAATGTTCAATGCCTATTGCCTAACCTCGTTTAATGTCAATCCCCTCTAAATATTCTCCATCGCTCTTCAATGAAAAACTCAACTGCTGGGCTTCACAACATTCTAATTCTCATTTACTCATCCACTATCTACAGTAAGTAACAAGCTCACTTCATTTTTGTCCTTCATACTCACTAGTATATGGTTCAGAACTTTGAGGTATAAAAGACAAAATTTTGATTCATGGTTAGGCAACTTTAAATACTTTGAACATATGAAGGATTAACAATAGTCTTTGACTCTACTAGTTACAATGCAATATTATGGTGAACTTATTTTCTAATTAACTGGACTACTTGAACTATTGAAAGATTCTACTCTAAAGCACCTTTACAAGATAAACTACTTATTTTACTTAGCAATGAAAATATGTTCTCGACTTTGACTGAACTCAAATAAAGACCATCTCACATACTTTCCTTTCTATCTTCTACTCGAAAAGCTTCACCAATGATGACTAACACAAGTAAAATCTAATTCATTCACCAATAGAAACATTTTTCTACCTAAGCAATTTCAACATCTATTTTCTTCCCACTTGCTTTCATAATTTTTCTTCTTGACTTCATTGTTGAGTTCCTTTAATGAGAACACAAACATAGCTATAGATTCTCTAAATCCAACGAACCATTTATCTTTAGCCAGGACTCAAATTGTAGTATAATTCTTAAGTAGGAATCCCATTAGTTTCATTTAAAAAGAAAAAAAAAGGTACTAAGGAAAGCAATGAAACTAGAGCTATCAAGGTTTGTAACTTTTTGATGGATAATATCCATTTGTGGCTCCAAGTCGTTAGAGATTAAAATCTACTAACAAATATCTTACAAGTTACTAGCACGACAAGCAATCAATTTTTCCTATGCATTCCTCCTTTGACGGCTTGGCTATACCTTTTTCAAGTTGCAATATTTTGGAAGTTTCCACCTCGCTAACATCAAATCAACTAAGACACACTTGACTAACTAAAGAGCTGTAATTCAATTAGAGTTTTCAATAATCAAATTATATGACACCAATCAAGTTATTTAAAATTATAATAAACTGGATGAAGATTGAAGACAAGATGCCCAAATTCCACACTCATACCTTCAAATGAGCAATAGCAACCATCTGGGAAATGCCGTCACCTTTGAATTTCATCTTCTTTTCCATAGTTCGATCGAACTCCAAAAGTAGACACCTACATATTATTTATTAACTTGAAAGTATTATTCCCCTCATTTTGTATCAAATAAAAGGGAATGAATTATTGAAAAGCCCCATTTAGTTTCCAGCTTCCTGCAAACAACAATATTGATCTAATTCCTTCATCAAATATGATTCATTTACAACCTATCCAAGGAAATTACAACTCTAGATAAAGATTGAGGTGATCGTACTTGATCTTATAAGAATAATCAGTAATCAATGTGTAACAAACTATACGATACAAAAATGGCAGCACAGCTAATAGCCCCAAGTATAGAAGCCTTCCAAGTAATTCCCACCTTCATAACTTCCCAAGATTTCGACGGGCATATATAGGGATTAGGTTCATGAAATGAGTGTTGTGGTGAATCCTCTTGGCATCAACGCTGCAGCAAATGTTGTGGAGAGATATCTGATTTATTTCATCATAGCACGAGCTTTTTAAGTACTTTAATAGAGTAGACCATTACGCATAGATAAGAAAATCGTGACAAAGTAATAAGAAAGAATACAATCAGACTTATTCCATAAATATTTTGTTTCTTTTTTAATGTTTGCATATAGTAACTTCTTTATAAACCATATCTAAGTCAAATGTTAAAAACTAAAAATATAGTTTCCAAAAACTTAATTTTATCTTTCCCATAGATTAGTCGATGCACTCAACGATAAAAATATTATAAAATTAAATTAAAAAATGAAAAACAGAAAACAGACAAAAATGCAATCAACGAGTTTAATTCTTTTTCCAGGTAATGTGGCTTCATATTTAGTGAAGAAAAATACCAACCTTGCAACTTCTGGGAGTAACACCTTGTCATAAAATGTTTTTGAACTAAACGAATCTCATACATCTACTGAATAATCTCCTTCAGGGAAAGAACGTCATCACGTGGATGGGCATCCTCTACTCGCACTTGGACTTCATCTCCAATTTGTGCTCCAACAGATACCCACGCAGATGCTTGAAGTCCCACCTACAAATTCTGAATACGTGAGATACAAAATGTATATTTTATAGAGTTCATGCACCTGTACAACTTTATGTAGGTTCTATTTTGCTTGAGCCAAGGAGAAATGAAGGAATCTAACAGTGAAACTGATGACTGGGGATAAAAAAAAGTATGTTGTCTGTTTCTGCATGAATCTGATAGTATCGTGTGTATAGGGCATCATCAAGGGGGACAGTTTATCTCTTGGTTCAGTGGATCGAACCCATTAACTAGGAGGGGTCAATTACAATACAATAGCAATAAACAGAAAATTGTGAAGAGGCGAACAACCAGTGAAAATAGAAGAAAAAAAAAAATCAGATGGGTTAGCCCTAAATTTCAAATCGAGCAGAAAAATGAGAACTTCCTTTTTCCTTCTTTTAGCAGAAGTCAATCTTTAAAGAATGAGGATATCTATCCATCAATCCTCACCTCAACCAACAGCAGGGCTGCAATTCGATCTTTAATGAACCTGAGGATCAACGCCCTATATCTATTTTCTTTTGGTTGCCTTCTCAAGAACTCTAAGACCCAATAACGAAGACTTATGGTTGAGAGCCTCTTTGCCAATTTGGTATTTATATTTACGGTTGATGCCATCCCTTCCAATTGACCATGGGAATACGGAGGAGAGTCACCTCTAAGGAATGCCTTAACCTACATACAAATATAAGAGTACAAGTACAACTAAGTTAAAAGAATAGTCCATAAACTTGAAAGAAAGTAGTTGAAAACAGTCTTGAAATGAACGCTTTTTAGTTTTTACTATGCAACCAAAATCATTCACAATGTAGAATCAAACACTAATATGAGTAGAATCCCAATGATTTTGATTTTAAACTGAAATTCCTAACGGTAATGAGGAAGTAAACACAGAACTAATACGTTACAAAATGATGTCATTACTAAAGGTCCCAAGCATCAACAGGTAGTTCCCCTAAGAGTGCAGGTAGTGGAGAAGAACGAACCAGAAAACCATAAAGTATAACCATTACAGGTGTTCCAAATAACAGAATGGTTTATCAAGAATAAGGTCCATCCATATTTCTTTACCATATCACATTACAAACAACTTAACTTTTCTCACGGTAGGAGTAGGACAAAGTAAAGAGATCCCAAGATCTCCATGATGGATGGGCAGTGCAAGTTCGACAAAAGTTTAAAATAAAAATTTTCCACGGACATAAGAAATGAGAAGAAATACCTGATAATGTGCAAGAAGATCCAAATATCTACGGATGGGAGATGTAAATTGGACATAACCAGGAATTCCCAAAATCCCATGGCGTATAGGCTTCCTGAAATCTATTTCAGCCGCACGCATTGTTCTAACAATTGCAGAACTCCTAACAGGCCCTTCTGGAAGATGAGCAAATGCAGATACATCTATATTTGTTTGGGGTTGTCCTCTGTAGGGTAAGGGAATGTTATTGCGAGATCCAAAAGTGGCTATAACTTCCCCACATAGGACCATCATCTCAGAAACAAGTCGCATGGCAGGGTCAGCCTGGTTTTCCACGTAGAGATTGATTTCAGGTTCCGGGTCTTCTGGATTTGCTACCTTGATCCGTGTCTCCAAAGAGGCCATGTCAATTCCCCCCTGAAAATTTTGTAATATGAACCGCAGAACATGGAGGGCAGATACTAACATACGCCAAAAACTAGTAAAAGCAAACCTTCTGGGAATAGCGTTCCATCAAACATGTATATAATTAGTGCCAAAGGGTTTCTAATTAAACAGTTTTTAACAGAGCTTGATTAATAAACAACCAACATTCTTGCCAATGCATTAACCACTATGAACCCTTGAATGAAAATGGTATCTAGTTATTGAGGTACCTGTTGCCTTCTCCATTCTAATCGCAAAGTTGCAGCCTCAGATAGAATTTTGAGCTCAGCCTCCTCTTCCAAGTTCAAACTAAGCAGCTCAGACGCACTTTCATATGTCAGCATGTAAGTTGGTTTGATGATAGAGTTTTCCACAGAGTATTCTGCAATGCTATTAAGCATAGAAGTGTTAGGCTTCACATATTTGATTCCTTAGTAAAGACGTCTTAATGGATGCCATAATTTCAAGAATCAACAATTTGATTCTATTTTCTGAGCAGACGTTTTCTTCACCATATCTCTTAAATAAAAACTCAAGAAAGAAAAATGACAAGCACAGATAGTAACAGTTCGCACAACAATATGACAAAACAATGTTCTTTACAGAAAGTACATGAAAGAATCAATTAAATGATCTCTACAATGCAAACGAAAGAATAACAATGTGCTAGCAACAACAGGAAAAACTTTTGCATCAACATATATTCACAAATGATTTTATGATTTGAATACATATAATCACCAATTCTTATAGTTATATGATATCAAGAAACAAACTTCACAAACTGAAAAACCTGATAGGAAAAAAGAATGGCTAAAAAGACCTTCCAAGAGGCATAGAAGCCAGAGACAAATTTTCTTATTTTAAAAGCTGAAATTTACTGGAAAGGCAGCCACCTCAAGAAAATTTCTCCTCTATTATAACATTCTAGTGAAGAATTCTCATATTAAAATATAATAAGATAGGAACAACCTTTGCTTCCCACCAGAATAATGGACAACAACATTTTTAATGAATAATTCTCATATTAAAAACAATAAAGTATGTAACCGAGCTTTACCTTCCATCAGAATGAAGGACAACAGATACAGAAACTGCATTGCAAGTCTCTCCCTGTTTTAAACTCATTCCCTCCATTGCTAGTTTCTCCGGAAACATAGGGTACGTGGCTGTTGGAAGAAATATAGAAGTTCCTCTTTTCATGGCCTCCCTACGCATGATAAACCAAAAGAGAGTGAGCACTGAGCATGATACAAAATACCAAAAGAAGTTTAATCTTTAAGGATTACCTGTCTACTATGCTCCCTGGTCGAACAAATCTAGCTGGATCAGCAACATGAATCCATATTTTAATTCGACCATCTGACAATCTTGTTGCACTCAAGGCATCATCAAGCTAAAATATTGCATGATAAGAACGTGAGGTGGAAACCTCCCAAAATTTCATGAAAAAAATATAAAAGTAGAAATTCAAAATCAATACAAACTCAGTGATTAGGTAACTAAATGAGAAATACAAAATAACTTATAAATGAATTAAAAAAAAAAGGAAATGACAATTTGAATAGGATATATTTTTAATTTTATATAATCACCTCATCTGCTTCATCAACATCAATGGCATAAACTTTCAGATGTGTGAGATTCTTCCTGTCAACCTAAACAGAGAGGGCACCATATATCACATGACAATTTTATCTTGTCAGAGGCAACATATAAAATATATAGTAAAACATTAATAACTATTAATGAAGATTTCAAAGTCCTGGATGGGATTAACTGTTGGGAAATTTATAAAGTTCAATCATGCTGTAACAGGCAGGGAAGCAAGGGAGAATCTCAAATGATAATCTACATGAATAATTTCTTGTTATCACTCTATTAAGACCTATTCTCACACACAGCATAGAGCTTTATAACAAAATCAAGGATAGGAACCTGACATTACCTCATCAGGATCAGATGCCTCCAGTAAAAGTGATTCAGCAGCTGCTATAATCTCGTCTGAATGATCTGTTCGAATGTTGAACTTCAAAAGATCAAGATTAACATGCCGAGGGAAATACCCTATGTCTATGAGAAGATTTACTGACGATGATGCTGTTTTCACCAGTCCCATAGCCTTGAGAATCTAGGAGATAAATATCAAACGTAGTAAGGGCAATGGATGAAAATGTAGTTTTCAATCATCAAGTAAGTCACATGAAAGGATTTACCATCCCAGCTGTTTTTCGTTGTTCATCATCCTTGCAAGCATCAATAGCATAAGATTCGAGAGACTGAATCTTGTGTCTGGTTTTCTCTTCAGCTACCCAGGAAGATTTAGGTGGTTTGGCCTTCAAAGGCATTGCCTTAGCAGATTTCAATAATTCTACGAATTCTTGTAGTTCTTTCTCAGCTGCCTCCTTTGCAAGCTTTTTACGTTGAAGCTCTTCAACCTGGCTTTCAAAAAAAGAATTAGAAAAGAATTAGACTAAGGAAAACATTGAAGCTTCAATAAATTAGGGAGGAAAAAGATGTGATAAAGGATGAAGAAGATTGAGTAATGCATCTAAAAATCTATTTATTAAGTCCTATAAAAGCTCCAACAAATTAGGGAGGAAAAATGATTACAAAAATGGTTGAAAAATCATAAAACTCAGTTAAGCACATTGACTACTGAATCTGCTTTGGTTGCGGTGAAACTACACAGGGATTGGACTTGGGACATTATTATCCCATTATGTATCCATCCTACTGCACTACCATCATGTCAAAAGAACATAGAGGAAGTTAGATAAAGGGAAGAAATAATGCGAACAAGCTTTCCAAGCAGAAAGTAACACCAAGATGGTCCAAAAGCCAGAATACCAAAGAGGAATGAAAACATTAGATTCAGTTATAGGACACAAGCTGAATCACACAGAGACCATAGCATCTAAGGGCACTGTTAGGGTGGTTTCCAGAAGTTTCTTTTAACATCTGGTTTTTTGAGATAATTAATGAAAATTGTCATGTTGTGTTTTACTTTTTTTTTTTAAAATATTCTCTGTTCTTTTGTTTTTACTTGATTAGTTTTATTAATTTAAATTATAATAAATTTAAGATGACATGCATTGAAAAAACTATTAATCATTATAAAAGGACAATTACTTTATTTTGATAAGAGGACAATTACTTTAGAAAATACCTAAATACAACGACATTTTGTTTTTGTTCTCTTTCTTTCTTCCCCCCTTTCCTTTTAAGATATGAGAAGTATTTCTAGAAACATTATGCCAAAAGAATTTTGGAGACAAAATGAGTTTTTTATCTTAAAAATGGGAAATGGTTCTTGAATATCGCTCCATAAGGCCCTAAGAACTTGACTCTGCTATATGTTAACCTGAGTTAGTTTAGGAGTGGACGTCTTTCTTTAGATGAGCTGGGACTTTGAATTTAGCTATAGATTCTACTCGTGTTTAAGATATTAACATAGATTTTGAATATTGATATAACTAATTATCTTTAACTGTAGAGTAAGCAGCAAATAGGCTTGAGCCAACGCTACATATTCATAAGTTATTGTGCTTTGAAAAAGGTTTTATAAGTTTAAGAGCCTCCATATAAAACCCTTTGGAGTAAAAGACTTTTTGAGGATAAATCAGCTTTGATATTTGTACAACCCAAATATCCTAATAAAAAAGGAACATTGCGATCTACAAGGTAGAAAAGACAAAGTAGCTTGAAAGAAGTTTGGCAGGGGAAAAGAATATAAGGTTACTTAAGTAAATAGTCTATCATCTGTGATTCTATCCAATCATAAAAGGTGGAGAAGGCAGGATATGTGTCGGAGGAACTGCATTTTGCACATTTTTTTCCACTACCAAAGGGTTCTGTAACTTTTCCCTTTTCTTGGATACTTTCGTATCCTTAGTTGAAGTAAGGATTGGATAGTGAGCCACCTTTCATTTTCATTCACTTCTTTCTCTTGTGAATACAAGTGTTTCCTATCTTATGAAATAAATTAAGTTGTGATCCACTTCGTATCTATGAGGTCATGAATATATTATGGCCTTCAACACCTCTTAAAACATCTTACCTTATTTTGATAAGCTACACAATATCACATCTACAGAAGGAGCAGGATGGACTATGAAGGAATCTTGCAGCACACACAGCAAGGAATGAGAGAAAACAAGAAGAAGAAGAAGGAGAAGAGAGAGAGATAAAGAAAGAAAAATTATCAATTTTACAATAGAAAACATCTCTTTAATGGATATGAGAGATGGCCTTGGAATCGCTAATATTTAATTATTGAAGCTTAACGAATTGGCACCACATAAACTTAGTGTAAACTCAAGATAGATCTAAATGCTTTCTACCAAATTATTATCCTTTACAATCTGCAGTTGGAAACTATATCTTTCAGAAGCATCAAGTGAACCCCCACCCCGGACCCACAAAAAAAATTAAGATTAATAAAATTAAAAGAATCACTTGTTAATTTCCAATCTTTAAATAAAAGAAAGTTTTGAACTAAAGTATAATGCGTACTTGGTCAGTAGGTCTTGGACCATAAAAAGATCGCGAACCTTTTGTCTGCAGAATAGTGAAGTATAATTCATCTCTTGATAACAACAGATGCGCACAATAGCTATCAAGAGGCTCTGTACTCCCAAATATCATCTGTAGAAGGAGCTACAATCAGTGATGGAACAATTAGCAAAGGATCTATGATATCCAGACAATACATAACCTCAGCTAACTCTTCGGTAGTCACAGCCTTATTTTGTTCAAGAAGCTCAAGCCAAGCAAACTCCAGCAGTGTCGGGTCCTGCACTCACAATTATTAGCTCAAACCAGATTGCAAATCACCATCAGCCAACATGACTTGGACTCTTGTATTTGAGGCCGAGGACAAACCAAGTTATCGTGAGCTTTCTTAATGAAGTCTGCAATTTCTGTATGGTCAAAATTTTCAACACCAGGGACAATGTACGTAACTTGTTGTGGCTTAATAGATGATGTCACACCATTCTGTCAGATAAAAGATGATGGATCAAAACAAAATTAGAATTCAGGTCCAAATACTTTGCTCGAGCTTACATAATATAATAAGCCATAAATCAACCTAGCAGCCTATTCAAAATGGTGCGCACTAGTTGTTTGTACTAGAACCTGATCGAACACCATCCAGTTCTTTTTCCCGTCAGGTCTCTGCGCGACTGCCAGTAGTACTCTATCCGAGTCCTTCTTGAACTCCAGCAACAGTCCCTTTTCCAGTGTTCGATTCATAAGCTTATCTTCAGTAAGCTCTCCACTTCCCATGGCCACCAATCCCATTCTGAAAACATTAAACTTCTTGTTGCTCATTATACATATATATAAACCACACTAAATGCTCAACTTCCAGATGAGAATACGAGCTTAGGAACAGTATACTATTACTTTGAGAAAATTATTGCGGTTAGCTAAACAAATATCAAAGGCAACATGAAGGTCATAGCATAACACAAATTTCAGCTCAACTCTATTAGGAGAAATAGAGAATGTACTTCCAAAGTAAAACTGAATGCACAAGATACTATCAGAAACTATCTGGCACGGCAGAAGAGCTAAAAGTAAAATATAACAATTGAGCAGGAAGGACATACTTAGAGGTAGCGGAAACTCTCTTTCGCCTACGCAGAGCTTCGAGCTCTTCAACAACGTTTTCGACGATACTGTACAAGGAGTAGAATCGACCTCCGCCGCTTCTGAAAACTTGTTGTTTGTGCCATAATATAGGAGACCTACAGTTTAATTTCGAGCTCCATCGGAAGTGAAGGTTGCTGGCATTAAAGAGGCAACTTCGGAAGGCGGAGAGAGGCGGGGAGGAAGCAGAGCGGAAGACCGAGCAACTGTTAACAGCTCGAAACGCCATTGTTGTTTGCAGAAGGAGAGAATCGAGACTCACGTAGTTAGCAGAATTGAAGAATAAGGATTTCTCGTTGCTTGGCGATGGCTTAGAGTTGACATCGATTTGGTTTCCTACGCGCAGAGAGAGAGCGAATGTGAAGCAGGAGAGGGAGTTACACAGCTGATGATAAAGCCGTGCGATGGAAATGGTAGCTTTCGTTTATTATTCGGGAAATGGAAAATTCATCTGTTTGTCTCGCATTCCATCTTCACAAAATGTTTTTTTTTTAGTATGATATTTTTTTAAAATAAAAAATGAAGTTAAACAATATATTTATTTTTTAATATAATTTTACAGACATTGGCTAATCCAACCGCGTAACTCATTGGATTAGACATCCATTGTCATTATAAAGATGTGTAAACTACAAAAAAAAAAAATCTCARAATTTTTTTAGTTACATTTGATCTTCATCATTAACATTTTTGAGGTGTTGAAAAAGCATGTTTATTTTAAAATTTTAGTTGAATTAATATGATGGGACAAATCGTACTAATATTATAATTCTCGTATGTTCATTATAATATTTAAAAATTTTGCAAATAAGTTCATAATTTAACCCTAAAAAAATGAAAATTAAGCATAAATTGTATTTTAATTGTTGGATTTTTGAAGTCCTCTTTATGTAAAAATCTATCTAGTCCTTATTGTTAAGTTATAGTAAAAGTATTGAATTTTACCATTGATCTAGTATAGTCTTATTCATCTTATCACAATGCCACATATATCAAGGTCAATCCAAACTTTAGTTGATAAAAACAAAATTATCATCTCAAAAGTTGGTGGTTATTGTCTACTTGTCTAACTTTAAAAAAAAGGTTTGTGAAATTTATTTTTAAAAATAGAAAGATGCATAGAACTATGTTGTTGAAGTCGGACCGGTATTTAAAAGGAAAAAATGTTAATTAAATATCTTTTTGAACAATAAAATACAAAATGACAGTAGAACTTAATGATCTATTCTAATATATTACAACTTAAACATATTTCAACTATTAAAAACACCAACTATTCGAGTATAGCTTAGTGCAAAGCATTTAATACCATTATAATAGTTGAACTCAAGGAAAAAAAATGATCAAGACACCAAAAACTTTATTAACAGGTCAAATGTCAAATCTCTACCTTACCATTTACAACTATATTCCAAAAGAACAATTTTACATTAAATTTCATTTGTATAACATGCTTATCTCTACAACGTTCCTCACTCTGAACATGAAATTAGTCCCCACAGATTTCCCCCAACAGCATAACGCTCAACCACAGTGGCCTACAAAACCTGCACAAAATCTTAGTGCTGAGGTTGAAAAGAACATTAAAAGCTCATCAAATGAACTAAACCGTCTTAAACAACAGAACAGAAAACTCGCTATCAGAATCGCAGAAAAGAGGAAAGAAATATGGATTACCCTAATAGTAACAGCTTAAACTTTTGATCCAGAAGTGATTGAACATGGACTCAATTTTATGTGTTAAGTTTGTCTATTTTATATCCTAGTCTACTGGCGATGTACTAGCCCGAAAAAATATGAGCAAAGAGTGGAAAGATGTCTTCCTTCATATTTTCTCCAAGGGGAGTCATCATCATATAGAACAGGCAAATCTCAACATATCATGTATGGTGATAATGTACATCAAAATTCTGGTTGGTCGGATTGATTATGGAAGGATTACCGATCATAAGCTTTTTGCATCCGAAAGATAATTTGTATCTAATCCAATGCTAACTTCTATAGAATTGCCAAACATGTGAGGATGGGAAAGTTTTCACATTATTTTTCGATTATTAACCAAGAGTTGTAAAAGGTCTAGCCAGGAAAAAAAAACTCAGAATTATCATTAGGGAAAATGGCTCTGTTTTGACACCTGAATTGTCTATTTTACATGTGGGATGCATTCATAATGTGCAATCCTATTCAATCAAAATATGTCTATATTTATCCATGAGTTGCATCAATTTCAATGGGAAACTTTCACCAGGTTCGCATCAACAATGACAATCTTCCTGCAACTCTTTCCCTCAAAGTATCAAAATACCCCATCTAATTTGTAGTCTGAAAGTTACTTTCATGTAGCAGAATTGCGACACAGAAAAATGCAGCAATTGGAGTTCCTATGCACTTTCCTTACCATTCTACCAAGGTCTCAATTGCAAGAAAATTAAAGAGTAAAGACTCATCGCAGCAAATATAAATTATTGGGTCGCCTCATTTACTTACATATTAGATGCAGTATTTGAAATTGTCAATCTTCTGGTTCTGGAAAGCTTTCTTCATCAAACCACCGCGGAGGATCAAAGCCAGATCCACCTACAAAGAAGCAAAATGCATAGAATCAGTATTGTACAGAATCAAAAACCAAAGAGAAAATATATTCTTATTCATTATAAGGGAAACTATCGAGTTTCTCTATTTAATCAGACCAATGCCATTACCAAGAGGATTACAGCGACAGAGGCGCCAAGCAGTCAAGATGGTGCCCTTCGTAACACCATATTTCTTGTAAGCTTGCATAGAATACTCACTACATGTAGGTAGATAGCGACAGCTTTTTGGCAATAGCGGCGAGATTTCTCCTGCTCAGATTTTACGCAAAATCAGTACTCAACGATTAGCGCTAGCTTCAATTCCGATCGTAATTTCACAGGATTCTTCGAATTTGAACCTAAAACCGAACAAATGACAACATTATACTTACGTTTGTAGAACTTAAGCACGGATAATGCAGCTCTAATCCCCAGATTGTCCACTTCACCGTCTATGAAAATGAGTAGAATGCCCCGAATTCATTGAAGTTCATACGTCAATTGGATAAAAATATAGAGTGAAGAAGAGGCGAGTACCTTGCTCGCTGTTCGCGCTTGAATTCCTTTTGGCGCGCGATTCACAGAGGATTAAGGGCCGGCGGAGTTTCCGGCCATTAAACCGAATGGCGAAGCCGGCGGAGCAGTGGCTTTGATGGGTGAAGAAGATCGGGTTCTGGTTTTGGGGTCTGTGGCAGTTTGTGGTGGGAAGAACCGCCATGTCACTCTTCTCAGACTGTTCTTCAAATCAAATGGGACTGGAGAATGGTATGTTTTCGGGTTGATTTTTATTGTGGTTCTCACTCCACACGAACGATGTCGTTTTATTCGATTAATAATGTCATAATTTGTCTCAAAATTATTTTCAGAATATTTTTCCTCTTCATATCACTGATCTTTTTAATTTTTATCTTTAATGTATTAAAATTTTTCAATTAAGTTATTTCATAAAAAAATGTTAAAATTTGTTGTTAAAAAGGTGATATGTCGTTATTATTATTATTTAAGTAGAAGATGTGAAAATGGAAATAGGTACATTAATTATATACATGTCCGGAGGTAGTGGTAGGGAAAAGAGATGATTATATTACAGTCTAATTCTCAAAGCTCATACCAATTACCAGTTACCATTTTGCTTTTAGTTTTCTAAATTATGATTATTTCGTCGTAACTTACTTTTTATATTTTAACTTTTTTTTATAACCAAATTTCAAAACTTTTTTTAATTTTTAAATTGTAGCTTAGATTTTGAAAATGTTTTTATACCAAATAAAAAAAAAATATATGGGTTAAAAGTAGTATTATAGAGTTTAATTTTCAAAAACATAATAGCTATCCAACAGGTCTAAACTTTCAATTATGTGTCTAATGTCATCCAAAATCTAATAAATTTTTAATTAAAGAGCCTGCTTAGGACCTGTTAAACACAATTTTAATCTTGAAAAAGCATGTAATTCAACCAAAAATGAAACAAAAATAAATAAAGACTAATATAAATCTATCAGTTCATTAGAGAAGTAAAGCCATACATTACAATATCCTAATGGCCAATCCATTAGAGATGCAGACTTATGGCCAGGCCAACCAACGCCGCAAATTGAAATAGATTCATCAACCTCAAATTCTAATGCATCATTAACTTAATGTAACTCCTCTCATTCAGAATTATTCAGGACAACAATGCTTCACTGGGAAAGAATGAACCCCATTAGAAACGCGCCGTCACTTGAGAGAACAAGGCCTTGAAATCCTTCGTTGGCGTACCGACTCCCTCGGGCTTCGAGGCTAGATCGAGYGCCTTGAATTTGGCCTCCTCATATTGCAGTGCCTGTTCGAGAGTTAACAGCTTTGATAAGATACCAAACAGGAAATATGATTGATTGGGGTTGTCTATGAGGAAGATGGATATGTATAATATGCACATGGTGTTTGATATCGATTTCAATCTTTCGTGTTCGTTCGCAATGTTTATTACTTGCCTACTTGGTTACTTTGAGAGTTTCATGGATAGTTTCTAACTCAGAAATCGCTAAATGAGAGTACCTGAAGGCAGACTTCGGCAACATCGGCCCGAGCAATGGTTCTTGTCTCTGTTTGAAGAAGCTCGTCGTCCTTCCCTACTAGCAGTTCCCGGATCCCACCATCCTTGTCCTGCAGGCCTCCGGCCCTGAGAAAAAAGGCAGTCCAATTGGGTAAATTGACAAGTTGAAGGCAAATTTACTTGCAGTCAAATGTCAAATACTCTAACTAGGAACTTATTTTTAAAAAAAGAGCTTAGAACTTAGATCAAAGAGCAACACAGCATTTTGACATCCATCTTTAGAAACAAAAACCAGATAAACCATTAGTCAGAATGATCAGATCGGGAAGCATGTGATATGGAGGTTTTGAATCAAAGAAAGATCTCAGAATTTCTAATAAATGCTTTGAACATCCTTAGTCAAGTAGCTTAACAGAATTGATATTCAGACTTCCAACCGAATGAGAACACGAAACAGTACGAAAAGCACTTTTTCTGAGAATCTGAGTGTTTTATGTTCTGAGCAGCGAAGATGAATGTGAAAGGCAATCAACGACATACCTTATAATGGTGTATGGAACACCAGAATCAGCCAAATACTGCTCAGCCTTTCTTTTCCATACCTGTTGTATAATGAACGAATTTTAGAAACTCTTTCCAGGAAAAACTAACTGTAAGCAATTGAGAAGAGAATACTAACCAATATGTTCCCATTGCCCAAGCTGTTCAAGGGATGGTTGAGATTTGTTCCACCCATAGACCCGACCAACACAATTTGTTTAACTCCCGCAGCCTTCGCTGTTTCGAATCAATATATTGATTTCAATATTTAAAACTCGCAAAGGCTATAGCAAGAAGGAGCAAGCAGTTAGATCACTCACCAGCATCTATTTGATTCTTCTGGCCAATCCAGTCAACCTAATGGTAAACTTCCATCAGAGAGTAAAAGACATAAAGATATGTGATAAAGAGCAAGGAAGAGAATGTAGACGTACCTGCTCAGGATATGCTCCATCTTCAAAATAGAACTCAGGCCTACCACCTTGGGTAGGATCAAACCCCGGCTTCATCTTCGGCACGGCGCTCGTAAGAATGATGAGCGCATCAATGCCTTGAATTGCAGGACCAAGGCTTTCTGCATCCCTTATATCGCCAATAATAACATCATCCGCTCCACCAATAGTCTGCTTGCTCTCTTCGGTTCTCACCAAACCTTTTGCAACATACTGATCCGACCTCTCCTTCAATTTCTTGTAAACTATTTGACCTGCCAAAATGGACCATTAAGACTATTAGATATCAAATGAATTAAATTTACCCAACCCATCAACTTAAGCTTTTGGGTTAAGTGGTGGTTTGTTCATCCTTAACATGGTATCAGAGAGGTATCAGAACGGGAGATCCTGTTTTCGAACCCCTGCATTGTTGTTTCTCCCCATTTATTATGATTTCCACTTGTTGGGCCTTTGTGCACTTTTCCAAGCCCACAAGTGAAGAGGAGTATTAGATATCCAATAAATGAATTAAATTTATCCAATCGATTGAGTGGTAGTTTGTTCATCCTTAACAAACAACATATTAAAATTTATCCTCCTTAGAGAGAACTAAGAAAGATTATCTGAAGTTTTCTCTCATATTCACCACCTTATGCATAGCTAAATGCTGTTACAATTAGAGAATATCAAGCGCTTGAAAGTCCTATGTGTATGTTATATCAGCAATAGAATGTAAAACTCAAAATATCATCCATCAAAAGCATATAGTTGCTGACACTTGAAAACTTCCACCGGAAATCCACAACTCAAGCAAATAAACACTCGATATACACCGTCAAAAGCACAACTCAATGGATAAGGCACCTGTTACCTTTCCTAAAGTTAAAGGTTCGAGGTTGAATCCCACCCCATATTTGTTAAAGAAAAACACCCAATAGACCATTAGAATAAGTATGCTAGCAAGCAAACAGACAATTCAATCTAAAAAATTATCAGTACTACGGCAGTGTGGATATTACTTTCCTTCGATGGCAATTACGTTTTAAAAACGATAGTGCAATTCGATGGGAAGTGAAAACAATGTCAAAGGTTCATAAGAACAAAAGAACTGAGTTGGACGAAAACCAAATCTACAGGAAACCCGAACCCTCGAATGGGGAAGATACAGAACCCCAAATGACATAGACACGAAGGCAAAATTCCAAAACCCAGAAAAAGAAATTCCAAACCCCACAACTCCTTTCTTCTAATCTCCCAAAATCTTCCCTCAGCAGCCAAATTGAAGTTAAACAGCCTTCAACAGAGCAAAGAGAAAACAGCAGAGTTACCGGTTCTGCCACCAGCTCCGGTGACGAGGACAGTGCTGCGGCCGGAATCCGCCATTGCAACGAGCGAAAGAGCACCTACACGACGCCTTGTGAAACCCTTCTGAGAAACCGGAGAAATGGAAGAGACGATGGGTTGAAAAGATAGCGATGCGATTGGATTATGTTGCGCCAGCCGACCACATTTATGACATTGATGAAGTGCCAGTGGTGGAGAAGGGGTAGGCTTGGGGTTGAGGGTGAAGTCGACTAATGGGACACGTGTTAGAATCGCCATGGCTCGAGAGTAAGAGCGCTATGGCAATGACTGGTTTCCATCTGGGCGCCTCTGGTTATGCCAAATAAAAGCTCTTTCCTGAAGCAGCGCGCGCACCAGAGACTAGAGAGAGAATCAGAAAGAGAGAATGGGCGTTATTTTTGTATTATTATTAATAATTATGCTCTCTAATAAACAAGTATTAAATTGTTAGTTAGTGGGTGGATTACATACTAATTACCTTTTTTAAATTAAAAATTCGATCTCACTTACTATATGACAATTTTTTTGGGATTGAAGTTTGATTCTCAGTTACATTCTTTTATCCTTCTTTTACATTCTTCTTTATCCAATAACATCCTCACAATCCCATTCAAAATGTGATTTTGACCCCAAAAAAAAAAGGTTAAATATACTAAGGATGTTTTTTCAATTTAATTTTGTATCTATTATTAAAAATTTCGAACTTTTGCAATTCAATTTATGCCATAATATGATTATTTTAGTAAATGTTAAAATTAAATAATGATAAATTTTATATCTAGTGATTGACATAAATTTCTGACCCATGAAAATTTTTAAACAATCAGGACTCGAGAACAATATAAAGTTGTTAATATTCTGTTGATTGACCAAATGAGAAAAGCTACATCAATAACTCAATTTTAAAATAGCACTCACCATCAACTTCATTTTATTCTGTTTTTTTTCTTTTTTAACTTTTAAAAGAGAATATAGCACTAAACTTTATCGCTGGCTCCATTATCGGATTTCTTTCTAAAATAATGTATTTAGAAAAAACAACCTAAATAATATATGTAATTCAAAATCGTTTCAACAATGAACAAAATGACCAAACCCAATCAGATTTCATAATACTCACATTCAAAGCAGTAAAGCAAAATTAAAACAATAAAAAAAGAATGAGAGAGTAAGAACAACAAACAATTTATAGTGGTAACAAACAATTTATAGTGGTTCGATCCAAAATTTGACTACATCCATTGAGTCACTTCCATTGACATTTGTTTCAACAAGGTCTCGATTATATGATCATCTTCTAATCCAAGGCTCAATCAAACCAAAAATCAACCTTCACAGAGTATTTGCAGCAGACTCAAATTAAAGAAGAAAACAGAGTCTCAATACCCTCCTCACTGGAATTCTCTTAGCCCCTTTTCTCACATCCACGACCCTCAACTCACTCTCCTTGTATGTTCTGGATTCTTCTTCTCTCATCCCCAATCTCAATTAATTTCCTTCTATTTACAAGAAAGGAAAAATTACAGCACTTACATAAAAGACACGTGCTTTCCGTTGGTGACACATCAGAGTTTGTTATTTTCACTAGAGCCCATGTGGAAAAATTCCACATCACACCAAAGGGAAACTGCAGGGCCCACGTCACTATATCTGGAGTATAAGAAACAATATTGACAATCACCAGACTTAAACTATCAATACTCAACAATATAGTTTTAAAAGAAATTACAAAAATAGGGTGGCTGCAATTTCATATAAAATGAATTCAGTGGTTGCAATTTAAAGTGAAATCGCAATCATTAACTGCAATTTAATGAGAAGTCGTAGCCACTCCAACTTTCACGTGATGTGACTCCGGCTAGCTAGCTGGAGTCACATGGGACAAAGGAGAATTGCATGCAACGTGTCTTAACCATACTATAAGAGAGTGGGTTGAGACCCTCACCAAACGAGCGATCATCGATTATATGCATATGGCGCCATCAGACCATGTTGAGATCTGATGAGTGCAGTGTTGTGATGTGACCAAGGAGGATGGTGCATCACCACACACCATGGATGTGCTCAAGAATGTCTAGGGAAGACATATGCAGAATGCAGGCGATGTTAGTGGTGTCAGTGATAAGCTCACCGGCCGCGAGTTGGGGCCCCGGGCCATGACCTCAAAAGTCAGGGTTTCGTTGAGAGTTTGGACGAGCGGCTTTAAGTTAGATGTGTATTAGTGAGATATACAGTTGAATTTCATGTCGATCGGAGTTCAAACGTGTGTTTTACATTGGCGAGTGACTCCTCGCCACTTTACACGTACACACATGTCAGACCAAGATTATCTTAGAATTTGCACATGTGTATGTCATGGCGAGTGCGAGCGTCTGCAAGACGAGTGTTTCGGGTGACTTTCTTTGAGAATTGGAAACTCAATGAGGGTGTTGGGCAACATAGGTGTGCCGGCATTGCGCCTCGTCCCATGGGTCGGAGGTTGCACCACGAGGTCGTTATGCGGGATAGTATGCTCAAGTGAAATAGCACGAGCGCAAGAGTTGTCGTGCCTCTATAGTGTTCGGATGGATGGAAGTCTAGAAGGCCCCAATCATAAGTACGAACCTGTTGGTCGGTACTCGTTAAACGTGTTCAAGTGAGCAGCGAAGCCCGATAACATCCCGATGCTTGAGGTGGCATCCTAAAGTACTGGTGGACACTTATTAAGTGAGAAAAAGCTAGTCTTAGCCCGGTAAGCAGCAAAACTCATCGTGGTTGCCAAGTTTAGTCATTCCTTGCTCGGATCTCAGCAGGAATTATCTCGACAGTGTCTAGTAAGGCCGTTTAGTCCATTATTGACTAGTTTCTTGGCAGGAATGATCTTAGAGGCGTCCGATGAGCACAATAAGCTAGTTTTGACATAGTTAAGCAGCAGGAATATCCCGGTAGTACCCGGTTGGTGTTTTAAGCTAATTTTGACCTCGTTAAAGGTTATAACTCCTCCCGATAAGGTCCTGATTCAATGTTGGAGCGGGACAACCGAGTGGAAAAGTACTAAGATGGTCGGAATCGAGTTGCGACGTTGAGTTTAGAAGATCTTGGCCTAGTGTAGAGGCAAGGTAGAGTTGTGGGGCTTGGCCTATAATAGAGGCAAGCTGGCTAGAGTCACAAAAGAGTTGAGATGCACGTACTGCATTGTCAAGACAAGCTAGAATTCTACATGCCTTGAAGCTTGGTCGAGGAAGAAAGAACCTCGCCTAAGGTCCGACGAAGTCACAAAGGGGGGCAAAAAGTGTATTGGGGTTGGAGTTCCCCAGACCATGATCGAGCTTAGGTCATGGCGYCGTACGGTCGAAAAATGTGCAAAACTATTTTTTTTTTAGTATACTCTTTTATTTTTAATGATTATTTTCTTTTTATTGTTCTACAATATTTTGAATTGTTTGAAACTATTGGTAAACCAATTTAAATTTGTTTAATATATTTTGTACTATATATATGTTTTTTTAGACCATTATGTTGAATGTTTTTATATTTTATATTGTTTGGATGACTTGGTAAGTGTTATTAATAATTTTCTCTCTGATATTTTAAATAGTACAACTACCATGTTTTTAGCCTAAAATGGATTACATTTGTTGTTGGTTAGATCTAATTATTGCTCGAAATTTTAGGATTTTTTTTTCAATTTGTATATTGTCATCAATATAGGTGATATTTTTCTCTATAAATATAGCTTATATTTTTTTCTATAAAATATATATATATATATATCTTTTTGTTGGATGTAGATATGCTTTCATTTATATATTTAAAATAGTTAAAATACTAATAAAATAAATAATATTTTATTKGTAAAAGAAATTAAAAAAATGACATAGATAAAAATATTTCTATAAATGAAAATTGCATAGCGATTTCTAACTTTGACCAACCGCTAATCTATTTTCGTCAATAATTTGGCTGGCTTAATTTTGTAAATTTTCATTTAAATTACATTTATTTTGTTATTAATTCTAGATATACATCATTTTTGTAATTTGTTGTTACATTTTACATTATTCTTAAAACTAGCCCCCACCATCCCTATATCGACAGCAATAATTTTTAATTAGGAATGATGTTATAATTGATACATCTTGACAGTTAAACTATATTTTAACTATAATTTAAGTGCTGAAATTGCGACAAGAATTGACATTTATTGAATTATTTTTAGGAAAGGCAGGAGCATCGGATGGGTTTGATAATTTGTACATGACAAACACATCACATAAAGTTTGAGATCATAATATATAAAGAGATGAGGATTTGAGGACTGAACAGCTGTTTTATTCAATTTTTTTTTCTTTTTTTTAACATAGATTTATTTTGCCCAAACAAGGGCTTGATTTCTAAGCTGTCACAGAAGTCTGCACAGCTACTTTATTATTGGGRGAGTAATTGATTTCTGATTTCATTTCAACTTTACAAAGCTCTGGAATTGCTTCCTTTATGTTGTGGATGCTTTCAACTGCATAATCTGCTCCTTTGCTTCTCTGGGAAGTGCCAACCTACACAAAAATTATGGACACAACTTTAGGCTTTGTTCGTCGTAAAACAATTTTTAACAATCGCTTTCACAACGGTCTTCGAGAGGTTCGTAAAAAGTTAATGTTATTTTGTATATTGAGATTAACTATTCTCATAGATATCAAATTTAAAATTTAGATGGTTAAACTTTCCTCAAATATATTTTTAATGATATTTTTTAAGTCAGCATTTTTTCTACAAGCATCTTTACAAGAAAACAACTTAAAATGCTTCATTTAAAAGCTCTTTAATTGTTTTTAATTAAATTTTCTCATACTACTTTTTGATTGTGTTACCAATTTTAAAAAATATTTTTAATTGGTTAAATGTAGATTGAATTTTGTTTCCATTGAGGTCAACAGGTACATGAGAGTAGGTATCTACACAATTGCATGATATTGTCCGTTTTGAGTATAACGTTTACGGTTTTATTTTTTATTTCACCTAAAACGCTCTATACTAGTAAAGATGATGTCGCTCATTTATAAACTCAAAATATTTTTCTAATCTAACCAATTTGAGACTTTAACGCATTCCAACGATTTCGCATAGGGATGAAAAGTTTAAACTAAAATATATAAAAGATTACAGTATGCAAAAACTTATTTGAAAAGCTAATTCTTTATTCAGCAGTAACTTACCAGCACAGTTTGAAGCCCAAGTCGCTTGCCTGCTTGAAGATTGCGGACACTATCCTCAAAAAACAACTGAAAAAACAACAGAAAACAAAACAAATCAAAATCACAAGCAAATTGTTTACCACAAAATCGAAATTCCAAGATCATCATCATCATCTTCTTACTGTTCTTTGGGGGTCAATATTTGCCATTTTGAGGGCCCATTCAATGGCAGCTTCTGATGGTTTGCAGACAACGGGTGTTTTGGGCAACCCAATCAAAGGGCTTGGCTGAGAAAAATGGGCAATTATGTCAAAGATTTCACTGCTTGAATCCTGTTTTTCACCTACAGAAACAGGCCCTCTTTGAGTGGGATTGAGGGTTTCAAAGCAGATAATGCCTTCAAAACAGTCTTCTAATCCAAGTTTGTTAAGTACTTTGGCTGTGTGAATTCTGTCTGCGTTGGTAAAGATCTGTTTTTTCCACACAGAAAACAAAGAGTGGTTTGTAAGAGAACAGTTAAGACATAAAAGGGTTGAATTTGAAGTTCTTTTCCTTTTAATTTTTTTTTTTTTTGGGAATTCTTACAAGTTTCGTGTAGGGGAGGCTCAGCAGAAGGCTTCTCAAAATGGGGTCAGGCTTCAGATTGTCATAAGGCAATCTCCCATGGACAAAGCTGTCCAACACAGAAAAATAAATCATGAGGCGGGGATTAAACTCACGTCTTTTTTTTTTTTGTCAAAAATAGGTGCTTTGTCATACACTCAATTTACATAAAAAGTAATAATAAAGACATTGTTGTCAATTTTTTTTTTTTTTTTCATAAATTTATGATTCATGTGAGACATCAGTATCACTCTTGACTCTAATACTCTATTGATGGGAGACCTGTTGGATATTAAATTCTTACGATCTAAAATAAACAATATCATATCGATGTAGAGTGGTGTGCGCTGGATGAGGATTTTTCTGRATAGTGAAGGCAGATGAAAAAGAGAGTTTGACAGTAGAGGCTGCCATTACCTGTGATATTCATCATAGTCAAAATCATACCCAATAGCCTGCAAAATAGAAGCCAAAAAGAGCATCAACTTGAATAAGTACTTCAAACAATCAAAAGCACTTCTTTAGAACAAAAAAATCTAAAAAAATGGGGAAAAGAAAAACATACCCTGAGACCAGCCATTGTTGTTCCATAATTCTTGTAAAGAAGGTTACTCAACTCTGGGATTTTGGTCTTCGCTATCCCAAGCTTTTCAGCAATATAAGCTGCAAAATAGAAGGAATAAAATCAACCATATTTTGATAAGAATAAGGTTTTTAAAAATGGGGGAAAATTGTCTGTTTTCAGGACAAAAAACAGACAGAACAGAAAGATAGCAACCTTGTATGTTGGCTTTGCAAGCTGCTGCCATGCCAGAGCTGACAGGATATAGAGTGTCATCCAGATCTACAGGTTTTAAAACACACTTGATAAATTTCTGTGTCTTTCCAGCAATTCAATATTGTAATAAAAATGGCAAGAAAATAAAGGAAGAACAACACAAAAAAAGTGATCACTTTGTTTTTGGAGGTCGGTTTTTGTCAGTTTAAAAGTTCCAGTACGAGTTTTTGGAGTGAATTACGGTGACCCATATAAAAAATCTCGTAATGTGAAAGAAGAAGGCTTACCAAAAAGAAGACAATCAAATTTTGGCATCTCGGGCTTCCTGTAACACTTATCAAATTCCATTGTTTTTGAGAAGGGAGAAGGAGAAGGGGGAGGAGAAACAGAGGGAGAGGGTGGTTTAAATAGGCAAAAAACTAAAACTTCGCCGATTTTCAATAGGACTCTGGCTTAGAAAATTCAATTTTTTATTTTTAATTTTTATTTTTCCTTTTCCTAATAGGAGATGGTGATATGAGCCATGAGGTCAAAATTCAACAGATGGATCTCAGCCAGGAATGTGGTCTACGGCTATATTGTTTCAACTTTAAACTACTTATTTAATGCAATGTCTTTGGTATATTACAAAATCATTCATTTCAACCAATTAAAGTTCTTGCTTTTTTAAAATAAAAGTTTTTTTTTTTTTAAGCATGTCTAAACAACTTTTTTATTTTTCGATTTATTTTGTTTTATTTTAATTCTTGTAAAATTGAAGTTGTTCTTCTCCCTAAAATAGGAATTAGTATAATGGTGAATTTAATGGTAGAAACTATTGGTAACAACCTTATAAAAATGATTTTTTGAAAAATAATTCTATAGAAAAACACTAAAGTAACCCATTTGACGAGTTTGAACTCATACCAACATCTGAATTTAGATGCTACAGATTGTAATTGACAAGACCAAATGAAGAAATGTTTTCTTTAGTAGTTTAGAAAAATTGATTTTTATTGGGAAATTGGGCCATGAAAAAGAAATAAAGAAAATAAAAGGAAAAATTGTGTTACACTACTTAAAGCTGTTTTCTCTTTGTACATCTTGGACTTTTTGGACTCTCCTCTAACTTTTCAATCCACGAAGGTCCTCAGTAGTTGCCCTTTTAAACCATTTGGAGCCTAGCAATTGTTCAAAACTTGTCACACTAGTTTATTAGAGTTTCTACTGACTTTTTGATACAATAATAATATGCTAATATTAGAAAATTAGCAAAAAAAAAAATCGTAAAAATATTTTAGTTTATATGATGTAAAGTAAAAGATGTAACTAAAACAATTAATCTCAAAATTTTCAATTTATTTAGACTCACAAAATTTATACTAAAAATTATATCAAAGGAAAACAATCGAATCTAAAAGATTTAATAATTAATAAAGAAGAAAAAAAAATATACGAGTACAATGACTTATAGAAAAAAATATTACCATAGGTAAGGACAACATATAAATAGAAAATAAAAGTAAGTTTTGAAGTTAATGTCAACAATTAGATTAAAGAAACTAAAAAATAGGATAATTTTACATGTCAATTACCGTTGAACTATGCTCACTTTGGTTATTTTAATTATTTATTAAAACATATATAACAAGTGAAAAACTGAGATTACATCTAATTGGTTATTTATGATGTGATTCTTCATTAAAATATAAACATTTTTATTACTTCCAGTAATTTGTATACTTTATTGAAAAAATATATATGTTTAGGGTTTTCATATTTTATTTATTATATGATTAGAAAAATTATCAAATAGTTTATTGAACACGATTCAATAATTATCTTGTTATATAATTAATAATTGAATAGCCTCGAGTTATGTAATTCTAATTTTTATTATTATAAAATTGTTAATAGCTTAATGGTAAAGTATTTGATGTTAAAATTCATTTTATATAGATATCGATCGAAATGAATATTTTTTTAAGATATGAAATTGAAAAAAAAAAGAAAATCAAATATATTCTTTTTAAGATCTATAATCAACCGTTCAACTTCCCTGATGGAAGAAGAAATTTCTTTTAAAAAAAATACAGAATTACTTTTTTTTTTGTTAAGTACAAAAAGAATCTGCATGAATGATATCATAAGCTTTTAATCAATAATTGGTTTAATTTACTTTTGAGAAATAATATCCATTGATCCAAGAAGCCTTTGTTTGATATTTAAATGAAATATTTATATAATATTATTGTAGAGTTGTCAATGGGGGATAGGTCAATTGAATTAATATCTTATCCACTCAATTCTCAATGGTTAATCATTTATAGTTTTCTTTCTAGACAAGATTTCCTTCAATTTATAAATAATTAGTGGGATTTTAGTCTTTTAAACTTGGTTGGCAAATTTTCATTTTTCAAATTAAAAAATAATATTATCTATTATAATTTGGTCCTTATACTTTAATTTATTTTCAAAATAATTAAAATCCATTTTGATTGTCCAAAATTTTATACTCATGGGTGCTTAAAAGCTACACATGTTGAGATAGAGACAAATATTTAAATAATTAATTTAATATTTGTTTAAATATAATACGATTTTTAAATTCAAACGTTAAGACATCAAATTATCAACTTTGAAGAGGGTATTATGTATCTTATCCTAAACTGTTCGCATTTTCAATACAATATGAATTATGATTGAAGATTATAATGGATTTGATGATCCAATCACATTTGACACCTTTTTCGAACCATTAAGAAAATTCAAATTTGGGTAACTTTTAGAATTTCATTTATCATCAAAGTGCTAAATGTTGACACTTGACCACAACTTTAATATGTACTACTCATTATTCCCAACAATTATTGGAGGCTTTGCTGCAAATGACAAAATGAAAGTGACCAGCAAAAAAAGCACTACAAAATTAACTAATGGTGGTATAGGAAAAGTAGAGCATAGATAGATCGACAGTTGATGCTAACATCAACTTAGTTCAGTGTAATTGACACAGGTTTCCAGTCAAGAGGTCATGAGTTCAAATCTCGCACTCACTTATTGTACTAAAAAAAATATTGAATGTAGATGTATGATATGGTTCTTTTTCTGACTTGGGTTAGAGGTGTGGTTCTGGCTATATTGATCGCATCATTTGGTGTAACTGGTTATTCCTTACCTCCGAACCAAATTAGTTATTTGACAGTCAAAATTGTAATAGAGGTATTGAAAGCTATTTCAATAATAGAGTCACCAGAAAGAGAGCACTCTAGAATAAATGGCGGGCCTTTTAAGACAATAAGTTCCGACTCTTTCCTTTAATTATTTCATTTAATTACGAGGTCGATGACCTTGTATTACTTTAACTACTAATTAAACTATATATATTTAGAGGGTAATGTGCTGTCAATAATTATATGATATCACAGTATTTGTTACCCCAAAAATATACAATGTTTTAAAAATATTTCAATAATATAATAATTAATACAATTGAATTTTAATAAATTGTATGTTCAAAAATAATTTTGTTAAAAAAATTCACAAAAAGGTTGACCATAAGTGTTCAAAGCATCGTCAATGCCAACATAAAATAAGCATAGCACAAATTTATTTGAAGTTGGAATGTTCAATCTTCCTGTCCAAACCTACATTTTGTTATACTAAAAGTAAAATATGATATTTTATAGAAAGCTTTAAGAACTAAAACAAAAAACACTTACAGGTTTTGAAATAAAAAACCAAATAGATCAAATCAGAGTATCAAAGTTAGAAAATATCAAAATAAAATTTGAACTCTTAAAACATTCCACGTTATTTCTTCATTCAGTTCATATTCTAACGGTCTAAACATGTAAAAATAGATAGATTAGAATCCATGATAAGAACTCAATTATGATTAGAGTGTTTAATTTGGTGATTAGATTTGAGTTGTCGAAACATTATTAGAACACATATTTAATTATATTGATTTCCCTTTTAATGGTTTTGGTTGCTTCACGCATATGGAAAGCTGCAAGATAAGTTGTATATGTGCAATGAATGAAATTACAAGCCATCATTTTATTTTAATATTTTCAAATCCTCCCTTTTTGTTTTCTCATTCCAAACTAAACTTTTTAAAAAAAATTAAAATTTAAAAATAAATATTAGAGAAACGGTAATTTGCAGTTTATGGAGGGAAAAAGAGCTAGAAATGTGGGTAAAAAATGAGCCATGACTGATTTTTGAGAGTAATTCTTTCACATTAAATATTGTTAGAAAAAAAAAACTAATTATCATCTAAAAATACTTTTAAAAAACACTTCTGTAATAACATAATTGATAAATTTAAAAATTAGTTTGAATCAGTTAAAAGTACCTTCTACTGCTTTAAAGGGAT